ACCTTTCTAAAAACTTATTTTAAACAACAGACTTACAGACCAAATAGACAAGGGTTTCTTATATTTTGAGAAAATCCTTCGCATGGTTTAGGCGCTAGTGTTTTTCACATACGCCAGACAGACTGACGGACGTTTTGAAAAAAAAAAAAAATACGTTTTCGCTATCAAGGGACCCCGAAACATGCATTTCCGTTGAAATCTCGAAATCGATAACGTAACTTTTCCTACACTACATATATTACTCCGTATATACGTTCAGTAGGGTGAGAATGGTCATCATGTTATTAAACTTCAGAGAAGTTTCTCGCGTCATTTCGCCTTTATGGTTTCGTTTAATCGTGTTACAATCCTCTAACAGCGATTAACCTTGTTTATTATATCGTATTCTTCTTCAAAGGATATATCACGTCCTACATAATTAAAATGGGAAACTTGTTTCTCATTACTAGTTTAGTCCTTGTTGGATATGTTACCCATCGTCTTATCTGCTCTCCATATATATATATATATTATATATATATATCAATAGTTTTTCGATTGTCTCGCTAAAACTCGAGAACGGCTGGACCGATTGGCTAATTTTGGGTTTAAAAAATTCGTGGAAGTCCAAGGAAATTTGAAAGGGCGAGAAAATATGAAAGAATTTCGAGGGTAATAGTATAACAGCACTTTAATTTTTCCGTATGAACTGCCTACGTGTCAAACATTTGATGTTCGTTCTGCATTTCAGAAATTTATTCCCACTACATTATATTACTTTCCTACACACGTGCTCGTTATCGAACGGTATATGATAAAAATCCTACCATTTTTACACATACACGACCTATACACATGACTTTACACAAGTTTTGAAAAATAATATCATACTACGATACTGCTCTTCCCATGTCCCCGCCAACGTTCCCTTCCCGCAAAAGTTTATTAATGAAATAATTTAGTTATTAATTAACCGTTTATTATGTCAAGACAGTCACTTGTTTTTGTAGCTTGACATCTCATTCTAATCCTTTGTGATAGTAATTGATGAAACCATCACTGGAAATGACGGATACCCATTACTCCAGTTTGTCAAATATGTTTTCATTTGCTCTTGCTGTATGCTGATATACCACGCTACTGCACATGCAATGCATCATCGAAATCGTTTCAGCTTCGAAAACAAGTAACACCAGTTGAAGGACATCCAAATATATTTGCTTCAGACGCTCTAGGTCGCATCTACACAGTACATCCGAATAACGACGAATGTTATCTTCCATTGCTGTTGGTGAATGTTCGCGGTCCGACATCGTTTCAAGAACTGAGAACAATTGATGGGCACTTGTGTGCAACTTACCGTGAAGCGTGATAACTATTACAGTTGCTCGAGAACAATTCGTACTGGGATGATACACTCAAGGATTCCGTCATATCTTCATCGCTGCATCAAATTCACACATTGTTTGCAATTATCATACCGACATTTTCCCCTCGAATCTGGAAGATTTGTGGGCGAAATATAGAGATGAGATGTCTGAGGGTATAGTGCGTCGTGTACTATACCGAACCGGTTCCGAAACGGTATGAACCGAAACGGTTCATACAAATGTTCCTAAATTGAATCAACAACAAAGGATTGAGTATGGTACTTTGATACAAGCTGTGAACAGTGGATCTGGTGGAATTTACGTCCTTGATACTCCCGGAGGGACTGGAACAACGTTTCTAATTTAATTGCTATTGGGGAGGATTAGATCGGAAAATGAAGTAGCCCTAGTGTTGGCATAATCTGGAATAGTCGCGACTTTGTTAGAAGCGAGCAAACTAACATTCTGTCTTGAAATTACCATTAAACATGCAAATCACCGAAACACCAATTTACAACATCGCCAAAAATAGTGAAATGGCTAAGATTCTTGAGGTATGCAATTAATCGTTTGAGACGAATGCACGATGGCCCATAAGAGGTCACTGGCAGCATCGGGCAGAACGTCGAAAGATCTTCATGACAAGCAAAACATTTGGATTGTGGAGCCTTGATTTAGTTGTCAGGTGATTTTCGTCACTCTTCCAGTTATTCCCCGATCAAGTATTGTTGACGAACTAAACGCATGCCGAAAATCATCAAATTTGAAGCGGTACGCGAATACACACCAATTGACCCAACATGCGAGTGTTGATCAAACTGCAATTGTTTTCGAAGCAATGATTAGACATTGTAAATGGTGAAGTCGCAGTTGACACCTCGACCAAATTTATAACATCACCCACATATTTCTGTCACTTCGCAATTCGAAAGAAGAGTTTATTCAGAGTGTTTTTCCCGAACATAACAAACCATAGTTGGATGAGTGAACGAGCTATATTGGCAGCGAAAATAAAGATGTCGATGATCTCAGTGCGATCATTTAGAATTTTTTTCCTGAAGAGCTTTTTTCCTTCAAATCAGTTGACACAGTTATAAATCAAGATGACGTAGGTCAACTACCCCACAGAGGTTTTGAATTCACTGGTATTGCCTGAACTACCACCTTACAATTTGCAAATAAAAGTAGGATCAGTTGTAATCATGATGCGTAACATTAACAAACCTCGACTTTGCAATGGAACGAGATGTGTTATTAAAAAGCTAATGATCAACGTCATCGAGGCAACGATCATTAAGGGACAATACAAAGTTGTTTGTCCCAGTGTTTTGATCCCACGTATACTGATGATTTCAATGCTTTTATCATTCGATTTTCAGCGTCTACAATTTCCGGTGCGTCTGAACTTTGCGATAACCATCCATAAATAGCAAGGCCAGTTGTTAGAAGTTTGCAGAATAAACTTGGGAGTTTCCCCGATCCGCACATAGACAATTATGCGTCGCGTGCTCACGCATCGGATCGCGTGTTCAAGCAAACGTCATCTTTGTATATTTACACACCGCAAAAATGACAAAAAATATTGATTATCAGAAGGCTTTAAATTGATGAACTGTATTGTAAATATGTTATATTTAATATATATGAAGATATTATATTCATTTGAATTGGAAGCAAGATTTATTTAATAACCACATTCAAAAGTGATATTCCACAAACGGTACTAACTGAAAAATAAATTGTGGGTATGTACTTATTTGTTGACATAATTATCTGCAACATAATGATTAGATAATCCATAAAGCGGTTGAAAGACGGGACTAACATCAAATGTTTGGACTTCCACGAATATTTTAAAACCAAAATTAGTCAAATCAGTTTAGCCGTTTTCGAGTTTTAGCGAGACGAACGAACAGCAATTGCTTTTTGTACATATAGATAGATATATGTAGGTGGTACGAAGTCCACTGGCTCATCTAGTGTGTTGATATTTTTGTGTTATATTTAAGACGCAGATTCTTGAATTCATAAACAGTCATTTGTAGTTGGTTTTCCGTATTTTGTATAATGGCCGGATCATCTGCATATTAATACTGCTTCGAGCTCCTAAATTTAGACCACAATGTATTTAATTTTTTCATTTTCGAAATAGGTTATCTACAAAGATATTGAAAAAGTTGGGAGAAAGTTCACATCCTGGTTTATTTGAATTCCGTGTTAATTATTTCCCTGGATCACTTATATGTGTGTATATGTAGACTTCGAATCACATTAATCAGCAGTTCTCTGTGTCCCATTACTTTCCATAATGTTTCTCTATTTACTTTGTACAGGGCCTTTTCAAAGTGAATGAAAGCTACGAGCGTTTCCAAGTTATATTCTCTGCGTTTTTTTTACAATGTCTTTTGAAAAGAAAACAGTCAATGCATGATCTTCTTTTGAGGAAACCTGCTTGTTCTTCTAATAATATGCATTCTGAATGCCACGAAACAACAAGCGTATATATTTGCTAATACAACAAACTGGTCGTTCGAGGTTTTGGTGGTAAGTGATAAGAGTTGATAATCATAATACGTCATTCTTCTGAAACAGTCCATTGTTAACAATACCAGCTCCATCAGGTAGTTTTCCGTGATTTCTCTGATGAACACCAGCCGAATATCGGAGCAGCACTCTAACAATCAGGCCACAAAGCGTGCGATCTTTCCTTCCTCTTCCCTCTCCCATCCTCACTCCTTATCGCAGACACACCCACATGCATTACATATCACACTAGTCGAGAGCTTATATCTTGTCCCGGCTAGAGTGGTGTCACGATAATGGAAGATACCCGGTTAGAGAATATCCCCGCAAGCTGATAGGTCGGCGCCGGATCTCGCCGTCCAGTGAAGTCCAGATCACAGCCACCTCCCGAGATAAAACATGCACTATACTTACAGTTACTAACCTTAGCAGTTGACGCGCCCGGAATCACCAATTAATCAACCGACTCGACGTCATATTCTTTCTCATTCTCAATGAGTGACCTTTGTGATCCATGAAGTCGGAGAGATGGCACAGGATGAGAACGGTTTCACGGCCCACTCGAGTCAGTGAAGAACTACCGATAAGCTGGACTTGGTGGCTCCGTGGTTTTCGGAACCCTCCATACGTATAGTAGTGTAGCAGGTCTGACTAAATCGTGAATTAAGGAAGTTAGTTTGTTTCCTGTTAATTCTTCCCATGGATAGTCACCTGGTTAGTGTTAGTTCTAATTCTCTATTATGCTTTGTTTAATGACGGGATTGGGGTAGATTATTGGCTAAGGCTATTGAAGAAAGTCTTTCACGGCGCATCACAATCGGTAAACGACCTGTCGCAAGTTGCATACGTATATGTACGTAATGCAAGATGTGATATTTTTCAACAGTTTTACATTGATATCAGTTAAGCGATATTATACATTCAATTAATTTTCCGCGAAGAAGTAGTATGAGTTGTTGCTGAATATACTTCATGCGAGAGCTGGAGTGCGCCAACAGGATGTTGCAAGACCGCAAAGCTAGCCCACATCAAGAAAATTATAACACATTACTACGAGAAACAGAAACTGGCTTCCCTGGTAAGCATTAATTGTAGAATTCTACTTGTAGAATTGTAGAAACATTGCCTCTTTTGTGATTTTATTATCACGGTAAATTCTTATGGCATGGTTTCCATGACAGTACTGCCAACAGTCCTTAAATCATACTCTCTTTCATCAATCCACTTCAGCACAGTATTGCAGGCTGTTCATGCTTTTGACCTCTACAGCTTTTAACTTTAATTGAAGGGCAAGAACACAAGAGAAATGTAATCAACCAACAAATTGTAGGTTTGACAGATAAATTCACTTTCTGCTCTAGAAAATCAGAAAAGTCATTAGACTTTGTAGATTTGCTTATTATACTCCATCATTGTCCACTGACGTTCATTGGCAAATTTCATCACATAGAAATGGATGTTAAAGAATATTTATCATGTTAATACTTCAATACAATTATCTGAAGAGAAGGACAAATTCTTGTTGTCTCAGTAGAAGCAACGGAGAGAAAAGAAACCAAAAAAACAAACATACTCTTTGTACAGGAAACAAGAAAAAAGCTAAATATTTTAATCGTACAATCAAACCTAGGTCTTCAAAGCTTGGCTCCTTGTTGGTCATATTTGAGAGAGTAAGAATGTATAATATGGATAAAGGTTTTTACACATTATGCTCCCACTCTTGTCAAGTTTGGTTAATTAAGACTGTTAGAATGAAGACAGAATTTACATTTATGACTTTGTATTTCTTAATATTCTTTAATTCTGACAACATTAATACACACACAAATAAAGAAGATTGTTTAAAGATGGAAGCTGTAGCAGAACCACTTGGCAAATATGAAACGTTACCCTACACCTTATTTATCATCTAGACGATAAAGCTCACTATTCAATCGATACACGTAGGATGGTGCGTGGCCTCCACTGTGGAAGAAACAAATATCTTAACCAATAAATGGTCTAGTTAAATGACTCTGAGGTGCATTATTTTCTCAAAATAATTTCCATGCAAAACATATTAATCAAAATAACTGATTCATTGTTGCATTTAATGTATTGCATATAGATCATAAACATTGCATCATCACTAGATTGCACTTACAATTAAAATTTACTTACTTATTTGAGATAAACAGTGTGACCAATTCAGGTGGAACATAGTCAAATACAGGATTATAAACATGAACCTTAGACAAAATGGCTCCATCAGAATAATGTAAAACTCCTTCAGGAGACACAAAACAATTGAATGTATCTTGATCATAGGAGCATAGGTATGTATTGATCAATTTGTACATGGGAGCCAGCACATAGACCTGCAAGGAAATGGCTCTTTGTAAACAAGGAATATAAAGATTAAGGGCCGCATTCATAGTCGACACTTCCTTTTGTGGAATATAGTGTTTACTTATTCGCATTTTCAATTCATAGTCGTCACTTCGGTGTTTGCTTCAGCCATCACTTATTCTTATAAGTCAGCTGTGCTCACTCAAATAATCTGTGCTCTAAGTAGACCCTTATATTTCCACGTAGAATTTCAAAGGTTTTAATGAGTGTTTGAAATTATTGAAATCAATATGGAAGATCATATACCAAAACAATATTTGCGAGACATGGAAAATCCTTTGGAAATGCATAGGCAACACGAATTTAAGAAGAGATATAGTTTTGACAAGGATTTGGTTGTAAACATGAGTGTCTCTGATGCTAACTCACAATGTGGGCTTGAGAAATAAAGAGTCCTAATCAGTCCTAAAAATAGTACTGGTACACAGATTTTTATGCAACATCATCATTTCAGTTACGTAAATTATTAATTTCAAATGCAGACCACAGGGGGAAATTTTGTAGGTTATCCTACGAGAACTATGTTTTATAAGTTATGTTACAATGATGATCACAACGCATCATATGTAAAAGTGTTTTTATTTTATTATTTTTTCAGTTGATATATGTAGATCTCTATAGAATAAGTTAGCCTTCAGTTTGTAGAATCATTACAGAAATATCTGAAGTGTTATTAAGAAATATTAAAAAGTTCATAAAATTCCTTTCATGTATGGTACAATATTGTACACCAATAATTATACTTATCACGCAAACGCGGAAAAATTCTACTAATAACAATTATCTGCACAGGACTTAATGCAATGACACACAAATAAAATAACGAAATTAAATTAATGATTTCTTTTCTGTTCATAGTCTGTCTATAAAACCAGATGCTATTCATAGGCTTAAAAGAACCACCAAAATTGTAAACAAAATTGACACAGACTTCTGGATTTGTATATAGTAACCAAAAAAGCAATGTTGCCAAATATTGTGGGGCAAAATATTGCCTGTGTGCGATTCTTGAATAAGTGGGGTCCAAGAATACAAAACTGTCATAAGGGTTCATTTATTTTAAGTAAATGCTTATTACTCAAGTGTTTTTTTATCAAATAAGTGTTGACTATGAATATGGCCCTACAGGTAGCAAAATCTTTTTAGAAGCATTACATTTGTCAAATTAATTTCTTCAACACAGAAAAACCAAATTAAAAAAAAAAAATCCTACAATTAAAATGAAATTTCTGAACCATCCATTCCAACGGCATTTGAACTGATAGAGTTGAACCTATTCATTTCACTGCCCGTAGAATTTATGGGCACCAAAGCATCACCTTACTGAATAAACATACTGAATATTTGCTTATATATGCTATTTTTCCATTTGCTGACTATTCATGGACGTTTCTGCAGCAATAAAATACCAAAATACACTGCAAGACTGTTTGTTGACATTTAATTGGTAATAAATAGCTTTGGAATACACTGTTGAGCTCTGAGTGCCATCTACCGACCGCTGTTCAAAATTACCACACCAAAGCCAATAATTGGGAATAAAAAGTAATGTTTTCTTCATTATTGCAATACACATTAATGCAATATCATGCATAATCTGTGTGATCTAATATTAACACAATTTGGAAGAATTTAATTAAAATACACTTGTTTAACTTTTTATAGAGCTAAATTTGTGTTGAATATATTAAAAACTGTTTTAAATTATTAATATAAACATTGAAGTTGGAACTTCACATAAAAGTACAAAATTGTTACTTAAAAAGAATTAGAAATCATGCTTTTTTGATTATTGGTTTAGAAGACATGACCCTTTAAATATTCTCCAAAATCTTATGAGCTGTAGAGGAAAAATGTTGGGCAGAGGCCACAACTTGAATGTGTTAATGCGCCTTATGGTTTGAATCAGCCCATTCTCAACCCATATCCTCCTCACCCTCAAAGCAAATTTCTCTCTCACTGACGTATATTGAGAACCTGGACATAAAAAAAAATTAATAATATTACAAAACTTACTGGCACTGAAAAATGCTTGGCAGCAAGAGCAACACTGTGGCTTCCACAGACAGCACGCAGACCTCCATTTGCCATGATTGTGTGTGTTCCAATAATTACTTTATTCACACGAGACATTAATGCAAACACAGACGAATCTGCTATCACGGTTGTCTCAATTTTGCTTCGAGCCAGCCGAACAGCCATTTCATGACCCTGAAACATGATGGTGTGTTTTGTTAGTTTCCAATACCAAAACCAATCTTCCTATTTTTTTCCACAGAAATAAAGGGAATAGTAACTTTTCTGAGCCAATAAAAATATGAGCAATAATATACACATATATAGCGTAATTGCAACCAACAAAGTGACAGGAGACAGGAAGGTAATAATACATATTATATTCTCATGATAATTGTACAAGTCTTGATCATGCTATATCATACTATGATCAAGACTTGTATTATCATTATGAGAACATACTATAAGAAAATAAATTTTAAGTCTGTCTTATTGGGCTCATATTATCTAAATACATCATGAATATATATTAATCTTTATAATAATGATGCAATTTTTATTTAAAAAATATCAAATTATTCTTATTTAATGAAACATTATCCTCACCAAGCAAAATGGTGCACATTCTGCCACAATCACTTCAAACTTGCGTTCGGCTGCAGCAGCTTTCAAAAAAGCTTCCACTAATGATGATTTTCCAATTGTCAGAATAATTTCATTAGAGTGGATATGTTCACATGCTTGCTGGACAATGTTGTCAGCACTGAAATCAAACATACTGAATATCCTTTGTTAATAAACTCCTGTCACAAACCTCCAGTTTTCTTTTGGAGGCCATACTGATATTTATTTCACTATTGTATCTAAATTGTACAAAAAATGTAATATTTGTAATGTCTTGCTTTATTTTCCAAAATCTTTTGCAATAATTCCATTCCAACAAATCAATAACAATAATCCAGAACCCAAATTAAAAATATTGCATTAGAATGTCTAATCTACATCTTTGTCTTGATACAACTGTTACTTTGCCACATTCCCATCTAAGGTGATATATTTGGTGAACAGAATGACCATTGCACACAAAATCATTCTACTTCAGCAAATGCAAACCAAAATTTTACGGTTTTTATATTTTGACCACTATTTTGTATCATAACATTTGAGACTTTGATCAAGTCAACTAGGGAAACTGAAAACAACTCAATGGAACAGGAAACCGATAACAAAATTCACCAGGAGACAGAAACTGGTAATTTAACTGATGAAAGAAAGTTTATCAGGAGACAGAAATGGGGAAAACATTAATTCCTTAACCAAGCCATGTAATAAAAGACCAAAAGGCAATGGGAGTGCTTGGCTGGTGGGTATGGGTAGAGAACTGAAAGGAGTAGATGGTTGTTATTAGAAAACAAAATCTACAACAGCAGTTCCTAGGACACAGCAAAACGATGTACTGAACAGAAGTCTATGTCGACAACAGGCTACCTAGAACTTAACTAGTAATTACTCACCTATTTTCTAGTTCTGTTTCTAGTTCAGTAATGTGCTCAAGAATAGCCTCCTGGAGTTCTGGTACTATTGACTTATAATCCTCTGCAGGACTTTCAGCAAGCATTAGTCTTTGGAGAGACTCTATTACACCTGCATCTGGTCGATCCTGGGAAGAAGTAGGCGTTATCTTCAGAAAATATTTTGTAAACCAGAAAAATAATGTAATGATTTGCAATGCATTCGCACTCATGAATTTTAATTTCTTGAAGCAAGGCAGACGCAATTTCAACTTCTTACATTTTCAATACATTTAGAAAACCAATGGGCTTTTTCCTTCAAGAGAATAAGTACCAATTTTTTAGCAACTCAACTATCTTACTGTGCCTATCATGTTTGAATATTACCTAGACATGAAATATCTGCCCTTTTGCATTTAAAAAGCATTAATATTTGATGAAATTGTGAGCAGTATCTCATAAGATTCACTCAATTCTTGGACTTTAAACAGGCTTCTTTCAAAAACATGATTTTGCGAGTTGTGACACGTAAAACTATTGAAATGTCTGACACCACCCTAACAAATTCAATTATTACAAAATAATAGTGCATTAAATGTTGAATAGCTTACCTCACGACCATTGATGTATTCTTCACGAATTATCTTTAGAATGCGACCTACCATGCTTTCAACTGTTGGATATAAGGGCAAGTTTTGATGAAGATGCTTACTTTCATCTTGAATTATTTTCAATAATTCTCTGAGAAAGAAATTGGAATAATAGAAATGCAAGTAATGAATTGGACCATGCAAATTAAATCTGCAGTATACTAAACCCAAATATACTTACTCAGCTGTTTTCCATTCAGTCTGAGTAATTAATTTTTTTAGCAATTCTACAGTGCTGATAGCGATATTGTACGATCCAGAGATTTTTCTGAAACAAATATAATATTGTCAGATTAATCATCATTACTATAGTACAACTACATGCACGAAATCCTCATGGGGCATACTTTTGTTTTATGTCTTGTATAAACTTGGACACAGATTCACAACAATCTTTCTTTTCAAGCATTTTTAAATCGATTCTACTACTACTGTGGAAATGCTCATGAAAATACAACAGCTGTCATTAGAACCAGAAACACGCACATAACCTCTCTTCGCTGTATCAAACCACACCAGCCCTGAAGCAAGTCCTCTGGTCCTCTCACTCACGCGCTACTCAGCCAGCGCTTATTCTAGGATTTATTTAACCAAGCACTTGACGTAAATATGCAGTTTCATCCAATCGGGAGCTTGAACGTCTCCATAGTGACGTCACTGTAGTGGCATTTACAAATACCTTCTATTATTATTAAAATACTAGTATTCCATACTAGTACTTACTAATACTAGTATTCATCACAATACTTTCTATTACTAATACTTGAGCTTCTCGATTGGATGAAACCGCAACAGCTGATTTACGTCAAGTGCACGACTAAATAAATTGTATTTTAATACTATACTTCCATATGACTATAATGTACACTCCACGCATATTTAAATATAGAAGCACTTAAGGATCACACGCTGATCAGACAACAAATTTTTGGTATTTGAGCTCCCGATTGGATGACTCGCAAGGTGCGCTGCGCGTGCCATCGACCATGGAGCCATCATGGAGCTACGACATTAAGGGGTTTGTGTATGCTGGCAGCACTATCGAAATTTGCTCATGCGCAGATGAACTAAAATGCAAAACTACGCATGCGCCGAAGATTGATTGTGCTTTAATGTTTGAGGGTCCATACCTAGCTAGGAGGAATGTAGAATATATATTATAACTCCATGTCGTCGACTGCGGACTATCCGGGGAGGGGGAGGTGCTTGAGTATCGTATCCGACTGAAGCCAATGACCTTCAGACACCAGTTCATCACAATCTTCGCGGGAAAATTAAAGGCAACTAGAGACCAAATTCATTACGTTACAAGACATTGAGACAGATGTATTAATCATTTCTTTTAAATATTGCATCCTGTACACCTTAATCGTGTTATTTGTGGTTGATTACCATTGAAAATCGTCATTTTGTACATCTTTCAAAATGTTTCTCATCACTTCCCGCTCTCAAAGATTCCGTGTGGACTTGAATATAAACAAATACAATTTCTTCGGGAACTTACTATTTTTATATTTTATGGCGTTGGAAATATTCTAATTTTGATAATCGCCACATAAAAAGTTGCAATATCAAGTTCTATTAGTGCTATTAGTTAATTAAAGTTAATGCAAGTTCTATTAGTGAATTGATATGAAGATCTCTCTCGAACGGTGGAGGTGAGAGGACGTATCTGCGACTCTGCGGTGTCTCGTGACTTCCAATTTGCGCGTCGACTTGTTGTGTCAAGTTGTTGTTGGGTTTAGACTGGTGCGTAGTGTTTTCGTGATCAGTTATGCTTCATGTTGAAGAAATTCTGTGTTCCAACTAGTGTTTTCAAGAAAATAATATTGCTCCATAAGAAGCAAACAATCGATATGGCCACAGAGAACAACTCAGCCAGAATCTCAATTATTAATGGATTCGTCGACTACAAATCAAGCTGAGCTACAAACTCAGCTGTTTCTTCAACCACAATATCTGCAACAACAACACATTTTACATCAGATGTCACAAGGAACAGTTATGGCAATGCCTTTGCCATTGCTCCCTCCTGCAGTACAGTCGTCAAGTTCAAGTCCAACCGATGTAGAAAAAACAGAACCTAATGTAATTTAAGTAGTGACGACAATCCTCATGAACTGAATGCAGAAATAGAAGAAAACAGTCATGCTGTAAGAAACATTCATAAGTGCAAACAACGAGTAACAAAAGTTCCTCTTCTGGTATTTTTTATTGATTTGGAACCAAAAGATAAGAACAAAGATATAAATTGCAGTACCTTCAAAACATAAAAATAACAATTAAAGCTCTAAGAGTAAAGCGCTATTTTGTGCAACACCATCGCAGTCGAAGCTGGGAGCACACGAAACCCTACTGCAACCATCCTTATCGGTGTATAGTGTGCGGCGAGAATCACAATAGCAGAACCTGCGATAACAAGAAAAACAATAGGATGCCTCCGAAATGCACCCTACGTGACGGTTCCCTTACAGCGAGTTTTAAAGATGAGAAATTTATCAAAAAATACGTCATAAAAATATTCACTAGAGTCCAAAACTTCCCAAGATTTAAACCGCATTGCTTCACAAACCAAGATAAATACAGATCAAGAAAACTTTTCACAGCAGAAACATAGTCAATAAATAATTTATATCAGCGTGGTACTTACGCCCATGCACTGAATAAGTCACAAAAAGAGGATAGACTGAACTATAATTTATCCAAAAAAAAGTCTAATACTCAATTAATTTCAATAATACAACAGTCTTTCGAGAGATTTGAAACTATACTCGACAGACAAGCAGAAAAAAATAAGTGCACTTTTAAATATTGTGTAAAATCTGCTAACTAAAATATGAACCAATCTAATAAGATAGTAGCATGGATCGTCAATGGCTTGTTGCAATACCGGATTAAGTGATTTCTTCAGCTAACAAATATGGATATTATGCTCATGTCAGAAACTCGCTTCACCCATAAAAGGTTTTTCGCGCTTCAAGGATACTACGTATATTATTCAAACCATCTGGAGGGTACACATCGTGAAGGTACAGCCATGCTTGTACGGGGAAAAAATTAAACATCATTTAAATTCTCAAAAAATCACCATTATTTGCAGGCGACATTCATTAAAGGGAGGGACGCATTCGGAATATTGAATATTGTAGCTGTATTGTCGTAACAAAAAATGTGGACACGCATTGGCATCATCTCTTCATATTCATTGGTGCACAGTGGTGCCATCTTTCGGAGCTGAGTCTTGACTATTATAACGGTGATGCTAATTTGTTTTCCTACCTGACGCAACACGTACAGTTTAATTTTAGTTCAAATAAAACCATGAAACGAATCGGATGGTGCAGTGTTTTTCTATGCCTTTAGCAATGTAATAACATTCAAAGATACAACATATATACTGCCCCCGAAACATGAAATTCAGAATTCACAATTCACAAACTTTTTCAGAACACTAGAGGATTTATTCCTGGCGGTGACTTAAATTCTAAACATTCTTTATGGGGCTCCAGACTAACCTCTCCGAAAGGTAAATATCTACATGAAACTATAATAAACTGAATATTGTCCACATACTCTGCTGGTAAATCCACTTATTGGCCGACAGGCACTAACAAAATTCCTGATGCAATAAAGAAATTTAATAAGATTTCTTTATTGTAAAGGGAGTGAACCAAAGTTACATTCGTACGTACTGGTCACAAGATCTATCATCTAATCATTCACCAGTTTTACTGGTCATCAACTCATTCATTATTGAAGACAACAAGCAAACTTCAATCCACAACAATATAACATATTGGAAACACTTCTCAGAATGGCTAATTAATTACCGCATTGCTAATGTACTATTGAAAACTGCTTTCGACATACATGAAGCTATAGGGTACGTAACCAGTCAACTTCATCCAGCATGGCATTCTACATCAGAAATTAGGCAAAACAAAAAACTAAATATTCCACTATTAATACGAGAAAAAGTGATAGCGAAATGTAAATTAAAGAAACAATGTTAAGTCACTAAGGATCTAGCAGCTAAAAGAAGACTAAATTATGCTTCACAAAATCTCAAAAGATTTACTTAAGAAAATCGCCCTCAAGATAGCGTATAAGATTGATTCCAATTTTCAAAATTTCACGTTTTTCTCTTTGGGAACCACCAAATTAACCTTTGAGAGAAACCTGATGCCAAACTATATTCCTCTATCAGAAATAGCACGACGGTACACGCTAACAACTCTCTGGACTAAACCGACGAAGAGAAAAACGGAATGCTTCACTCACCAATTTCACTACGACGTCTTTCAGCGTTTCCGCCGCAATATCTGCAATAAACATAAGAGAAGAGATTAACAACTTCTAGATTCACCATTGCCACTAACTTCCATATCAAGCCATAAGTTCTCAAGAAGTTGAAACAGTAAATCAAGATCTAGCCAACTAAAAAAACACTCAGGTACGATATGGTTTCAATAATAATTCTACGCCATTTACCAAGAAAACTGATCGCCTTCATTACTTCTATCTTCAATGCCATCCTAAGACTAGGTCACACCTCCGAATAATGGAAAATAGTTCAAATAATAGTCATCCCTAAACCCGGCAAACCAATGCATGTTGTTGCATCATACAGCCTTATTAGTCTACTGCCAGCATTATCAAAAGTTTTTGAAAAATTGCTTCTGTCACGTTTGAATCCACTTCTACAAGAAAAGGAAATAATACCTTATCATCAGTTTCGGTTCAGACAACGGCATTCGACTATTATAGAACAAATTCATCGAGTGGTAAACGAAAATAGTGAATCGCTAGAAAATAAAGAATATTGCTCTGCCGTATTTCTCGCCAGGCTTTCGATGTCTGGCCCCCAGGTCTGTTCAATAAAGTTCAGAAAAATATACAGTATCCTTACTACGACTTATTAAAATCGTACCTCACAGAGAGATTTTTTCAAATAAAATTTAGTAGTCAAACTTCAGAACTTATCCCTATTAATTCAAGAGTGCCTCAAGGAAGTGGGCTAGCACCTTTCCTCTTCTCAGTGAAATTAGTCAATTTATTAAATAAATAAATAAATAAACTGATCTCACTGGCGATATCCCAACATCTGTAAGCACATTGACAGCAACCTACGCGGACGAAACAGGCATCTTAATTCAATACGAAGACCCAGCAGAAGCATCTCGTCTCGTGGAAGAGCATCTGCATTCCATTCACAATTGGCAGAAATGCTGGCGCCTCAAGAACAATGACAAGAAGTGTGCCCTAGTCACTTTCAGTCTGAAGCACCAAACATGCCCACCTATAAAAGTAGAATTGCAACCTATTCCTCAAAACGACTCTGCAAAATATCTTGGACTTACTCTGGACAGAAGACGCTCGTGGAAAAACCATATTAAGAATTAAAGAAAAGAATTAGACCTAAAACTTATAAGGTTAAACTGGCTACTAGGTAGAGAATCATCTTTAAGCATTTTATACAAAGTAACTGTATGCAAAGCAATATTAAAACCAGTCTGGTCAAATGGCATACAACCTTGGGGAACATCTCAAAATTCTAACATTGAAATATTGTAACGCCTCCAATCAATAGCCTTCACGAAATTTGTAAATGTCGTGGTACCTAACGAACGCAACAATCCACAAATATTTATAGATCTTAACAATAAAAGAAGAAATCAACAAGTCGAGTGCAAAATACTTTCGACTACATAACCATTTCAAAATTCTAGCCATCAACTTACTAAGCAATAGTGACAACACCAGACGACTTCAACGACATCATACTTTAGATTTTACTTTTTGTCTGTAAATTATTAATTTAAAAAAATGTGCTCTATGTATTTATTATTATATTTATTTACTATCAACTACTCTAAATGTAGTAATATTAGTGAACTATCAATGTATTTTAGTCCTCTCCATTACTAATATGCACTAACCTATGCAATTTTGCCAAAGGTGTGTTTGCAAACAAATTGCAAACTAAAAATAAATTAAAAAAACTGCC